GAGAAGCCGTCACTGCTACTTGCTCATGTGCCCCCTATCGCCTTTTTCGTTAAACATGTGGCAGTCTTAGGGTAGGCGGAACCGGCCCCAATGCCTCCGCAATTGCGTAGAAGACCAGAAGACCTGTGGACCCCCCCTCTCCGAAGACCCCCCTTTGGAAATATCGTCTAATATCCCTCGGGATCTCGCCCCGCTTCTCATAAGGACCTCCTTTGCAGAGTGCGGGGGGTTGCGCCCCATGTGTGGTCACTGTGCTGGGCATGGGCCTTCATCGGCGTCCCTCCCTCTCCACCTCCTCCTCCTCCTCCTCTTCTTATTCCTCCTCTTCCTTCTCCCCCTCAGCTCGCTGCTGCTCCACTACGAGTGACAGCCTCAGAAGTCGTCGCCGTTGCTACTAGCCTCAGGGCGTGCATTACTCCTGGTCGAGGTCACGCGGCCTCAGGCTGTGCGTAGCGCGATGTGCGACGCGAGATTACATGTGTGAAGGGGAACTGGAACACACAAATAAATACACACAAATAAAACAAATCCCCATATTTTCCCATATTTTCGGGGTTTCTGTCTTCCCCCCCACTTCCCATATTTTCCCATATTTTCTGGGGAATCGAGGATTAATTGTGTCTGTGTGTTTCTTCCCCTCCTGAATTACATGCGTGCCCTCGCGCGACCTCTTGGAGAATAACCCATTTCCAGCCCAGACAGCGAGAAACACAGTCATGTTCGCGCCTCTGCGGGCGACCTGCATTCGCCCCTATCTAAAACCACCCGACAACTCCGCGCAGTTTCCACCTGGCTACCCGTAATGCCGCGTTCACAACATACATTCAGATGGCCTTAGGGGTCTTCCGAAGGTTGTTGTTGTTGTTGTTGTTGTTGTTGTTGTTGTTGTTGGTGGTGGTGGTGGTGGTGGTGGTGGTGGTGGTGGTGGTGGTGGTGGTGGTGTGTGTGTGTGTGTGTGTGTGTGTCGGCGTGGTCTGGAATCCCGGGGCCCTCGATTTTCCCTGCCGCTGTGCATGAGCATTCATAGCAATAGACGACAATAGAAATCCGCCAGCACTGAACACGTGAGTGCGCTTCATCGTGCCATTGCAGGGAACAGTGAGGTTCAGAAATGACCAGGGAGGTGCATGCTGACGTGCTTACCATAATTATGCCAGATGCGAGTTTCGAAGGGGGCCTGCTGTGCAGGCCTGCTTTGACCTCCTCCTCCGCATGATCGAGACGACGGGTCTCGAAATCCACCTGCACTATGTTGGGCACGACCGGTCCGTTCTCGGCCGCCATCCTGCGAACCATGGACTCGCGGAGGTACCTGTCGCTGAACGTCCGCAGATACGCTGCGGCGCAGCTGCGTGCTTCGACGACGTCGGCCGCCTTCGCCAGGCGGTAGATCACCAGCTGCTGACTGCCCGTGTCGGTGTCCAGCTCGACCCAGAAGACGATGCTGGCGTGCGCCCCGACTGCTGCCGCCTCGACGGCATCGTCCCACAGGTCGCCTGCGCCCTGCGGCGCGGACGGGACGCGCCACGCGGAGCCCTTGCCGTCGAAGAGCGCGCGGAGCACGGAGAGCACCTTGTCGCGGCGCCCTTCGGTTGTGAGCCTGCTCACCTCTTCGACAAACGGCGCCAGAATCTGCCTGGGCCACCCGTCTCCTGTGAAGACTTGCCCACGCCGGGCATCACCATTGAGGCCCAGGGTCGCATCCATCGAAGGGGGCTGGCCCACGATCGTGGCGCTGGTGGTAGCACTTCGGCCCGCCAGGTGGCCTGAGCACTACTCCACCGCCGCCAAGACCGGGGGCCATCTTCCCTCGGCGGAGGCGTCCCCTCATGGTAGGGCCTGGGGTTGCGCGCAAGCAGCCCTCGGACATGGTCTCTGCTGGCGTCAGCAGGGCCTCTCAGGGTCGCCCGCGGCGGTCTCACGACCACCTCGCTGCCTGCTGCGCCCCAGGGTTGGGATGGCGAGGCCGCCCTGGGCTACCCTTGGGGGCCTGTTGAGGCCAGCTGGGGCCACCTCTGGGAGCTGTCCGTGCACGGCCCAAGCCTTGGCCTCTCCAGTGGTGGTGGTGGTGGTGGTGTCAGTGTGCGCAAGCCTCCGACCCTGCGACGCCATGCTGTTCTGCTGCTGTTCTAAATCCGTGGGCACACAGCTCCTGCCCCCTGTTCGGGGGCTGCTAAGAGGTGCCCCTGGCCCAAGGTGCTCCCAGCTTTTCGGTCAATTTTGGAGCCCCTAGGGCCCTCTGGGCCTCGTGAGGGCTGCTCTGGAGGCCGTGGGGGCCTCCTTGGACATCCTGGGGGCACCTTGGGCCAGGGACACTTCTAGAAATACCTGACCTGTCCTTAGACAGGGCTTCCATCGCGGATCTTCTTTGGGCGCCCCCCCCGCCTCCCTCCCCGGAGGTCGAACCCGCGGAACGGGCGCTGGGACCCTGCACAGCCAATGCTCAGCAGGCCCAGGGCGGTACGTCGGAGTCCCGAAACGGTGCGGTGACAGACCGTGCGGGGACCTCGAAGTCCCGCAAGACCTCGCCGCACGGTCCGTCACCGCACGGTCTTGGGACCCTGGAGGCCCCTGTCGCCCGAGACGTCCTCGGAGAACGACTCGAGTCCCAAAACCCTGCGGTGACCCCGAATCCCCACAAACTCGCCACGCGGTGTGGTTCCCTGGAGGCCCCTGTCGCCCGAGACGTCCTCGGAGAACGACTCGAGTCCCCAAACCCTGCGGTGACCCCGAATCCCCACCAGCTCGCCACGCGGTGTGGTTGCCACATCGTCTGGGGGCCCCCGAAGTGGAGCATATAAACCTTTCCGCAGGCCACGGGGCGCCTGCCCGTGGCTGGGCGCTCTACGCTTGGGTCGGGCGCGTCCCCCTACAGGGGGGATTTTGGACAACAAGGTAAACATAGCCCCAAACATGCACCAAAAATGTTCAAACATTGTCAGAACTGGTCCCCTGATTTTTTTTTCGACTATTTTTGGATATGCCTCCTGTAGAGGGGCGGGCCCGACTTACCTCTTCACCCCGACCTGCCATCGTGGGGGGCATCAGCTTTCCAGCCGCCCGGGTAGAAGCGCCCCCGACGGCGGAAACTCTTGTGCCGCTCTTCGGCCGCCAAGATCAGTCAGAGGTCCGGGGGCCCTCCGATCCTGCCGCGTACCAGGGGTCGACCGTGCGCCAGCTGCCGGCTCCAGAGCGTCGTCGTCGTCGTCGTCTTTGTGGTTGTCGTCGTCGTCGTCGTCTTCGTCGTCGTCTTCGTCGTCGTCTTCGTCGTCGTCGTCGTCGTCGTCGTCGTCGTCGTCGTCGTCGTCGTCGTCGTCGTCCCCCTTAAGGGTCTGCCGGCGCTGGCTGCAGGGCCTTCGCAATCCGCCAGGGGTCTGGGGGCCCTCCGATCCTAGACAAGCGCATTCCATCGCTCGCAAAGTAGCTACTCGCAAACGGCCCAGACCCGCAGCGGGGGATCTACGATCCAGTACAGTCGGACCTAGGACAGAAAACCATCCTTCGAGAACATGAGACCCTTCGCCGGCCAAAACATACAGAACGTCCAAGGGTACCCTCCCCAGGGTGCACAAGAACGTCGAGCAAGCACGAAAGACATCAGGGTATACCCTCCCCGAACCGACCTCAATGTTATACCTCGGTCTGGCTGTATACCGAGACAGACAGACTCTGAGATCCGACGTTGCAAACAAAAATGCAATATCGCAAAAATCAGGACCAGACCCTCGGGCTCCACCTTTCTGCGTCACTTTTCGAGCTGCGTCGACCTGTGAGGGCCCCAGGGCCGAAATGGAGCGGAAACGCCTGGCTCGAGAAAATGGAGCCGCCAGGATTTCCGGAGATCTCTTTGGCCGGACATTCGCGAACGGAAACCTTGCGCGATCAGTGGAGCGCGCTCGGTGAGATCCTGCCGCGTACCAGGGCTCGACCGTGCGCCACGGCCGACGCTGCATGGCTGCAGGCCGCGGCGGCGGGGAAGAGACCCCGGGCCGAGCGCGCGGGGGGCCCCCGCGGAGGCGCGGGACCGCGTGGCGGGAATGCGTGGGGGGGGCGCCAGGCTGCGGGCCGAAGCTTCCGGGCGGCCACGGAGCTCGCAGGAGGGGGGCGCACTGGAGGAGGAGGAAGGTGGAGGAGGAGGGTGGTGGTGGAGGAGGAGGAGGAGGAGGAGGAGGAGGAGGAGGAGGAGGAGGAGGAGGAGGGAGGAGAGGAGGAGGAGAGGAGGAGGAGGAGGAGGAGGGAGGAGGACGAGGAGGGAGGGGGAGGGGGAGGGGGAGGGGGAGGAGGGAGGAGGAGGAGGAGGAGGAGGAGGAGGAGGAGGAGGAGGAGGGAGGAGGAGGAGGAGGAGGAGGAGGAGGAGGAGGAGGAGGAGGAGGAGGAGGAGGAGGAGGAGGAGGAGGAGGAGGAGGAGGAGGAGGAGGAGGAGGAGGAGGAGGAGGAGGAGGAGGAGAGAGGAGGAGGAGGAGGAGGAGGAGGAGGAGGAGGAAAAGGATGATGAGGAGGAGGAGGCGGAGGAAGAGGAGGAAGAGGAGGGAGGATGCAGGATAAGGTCGGGGGGAGGAGGGAGGGGGGGATGGAGGGAGGGAGGGGATTCATGGAGGAAGCTGGGGAGGGGGATGAGGAGGAGGAGGAGGAGGGGAGGATGGGGAATGGGGGGATGAGGGGGTGGAGGGCAGGAGGGAGGAGAAGGGGATGAGGAGAGGTGGAGGGAGAGGAGGACAATGTGGAGGTGGTGGAAGCGGGGGAGGAGGAGGAGGAGGAGGAGGAGGAGGAGGAGGAGGAGGAGGAGGAGGAGGAGGAGGAGGAGGTAGGAGGAGGAGGAGGAGGAGGAGGAGGAGGAGGAGGAGGAGGAGAGGAGGAGGAGGAGAGGAGGAGGAGGAGGAGGGGGGGGATGAGGAGCCGGGGCGGGAGGAAAGAGGGCGCAGGCCGTCTGGGCGCCGCGGTCGACCCGCGGGCAAGACGGTCGAGCGACCCGCGCGATCCGCCGAGCCCAAGCCCCGGGCGTCTTCGGTCCCATCGACGGGCAGCACGCCTGGAACGCCTTCGGGGGCACCGCGGCATCCTCCTGGCACCTCCTCCTCGTCCCCCTCCTCCTCTTCCTCTTCCTCCTCCTCCTCCTCCTCCGCATCACCATCATCATCATCATCATCAGCATCGTCATCACCATCCCCATAATAATCATCAGCATCACTACCAACATCAGCATCAACATAATTATCATCATCATGATGCTTTACCGCGGCCGATATAATGATATCCCAGAGCGATCCACTGCGAAGTTTGCCACCATATACCACTGAAATCGATTGAAGCAAAATCCCCAAGGAGGGTTGGGTCGGGAACAACAAAAGGCTGCAGAGCGGGGCAAAGGGCGAGGCACGCTAAGCTCCTGCTACCTTCCCCCTACTCGTCTCAATGCACGGCCCCTCTGGCATCATTACTACGCACGCACTCTCATTGTGCTCTACCGCGGCCAATAGAATGATATCCCAGAGCGATCCACTGCGAGGCCTGCCACCATACACCACTGAAATCGATTGAAATAATGTCCCGTACCCCATCTGAAAGAGAGGTCCCGTCTGCAGGTATGCTTTGGCTTCGGGTGGGTTGGGGAAGGAGAAACCGTAGATCACGGCCTGGCTTTTGACAGAGACGAAACACCCGCGACATGCTTCTGGGCCCACAAAGATCGAAACGTGTGAGCGACGGCGGAGCACAACTGCGGAGGGTAGTGTTTAGCACGATCTGTTATCGAGCCTGCCGTCTCTTTTCCTTCGAGGTGTGGATGTGGCCTACCGGAGCGGGAGCACACGCCTGCCTTGCCAGTGCACTCGTGATCTAGGATCGAGTCGTCCAAATCTGAGGACATCAGGACGGAGGTGCGCTTCCTGAACTCGGTCTCGAACTGGCACTGGTCCACAACGATGAGTTTCGCATTCTTTGATTTGTGGAGGCTCTTCAAAAACGGTACGTTCCAGAGCATGGAGGAGGCGGGGTTTTCGATCATGAACGGGATGTTGTATCGGAGGGCCTGCCGAACGAGCATGCAAGTGACTCTCGAAAGCCGATTGCCTTCCAGACACACCTTCCTATCTTTATCGGAAAGATCCAAGAAGCCCCCAAAACACTCAGGATAACGCGCGGCACTGGGCAGGGGCGAGGTTCTCGGCGCCCTTCTTGCTATACCGAAGGAGCGGTACGGCGTAGCCATGGAGATTCCTTGCGCCCTGCCCACGCTCGTCGTTTTCAGCGGCGCTGGCATGATCCCAGGCGCAAGAATGTCGGTGCCGAACTCGAGCTCAATCTCTAACGACGAGATGCCATACCTTGCGACTGCCTTTCCAATCCCCTCGGCCCCGGCGAAGATGTCCAGGAAGACGTCGCCGCTTCCCAGCCAGGCGGTCGGGGTTCTCGGACCCTGCCGAAGAGGATGTCGCCAAGGTGCGAGCAGCAGAGCCTGAGGTACTCCTGGGCGTCTGGCGGCAGCTCCATCAGCATGGCATTGACCTTGCTTGGCTTCTCGTATCTGATCAGCGAGCTGATGCTGGCCCACCGTCCGCGCCTCTAAACCTCCAGCTGCGACCTCCTGCCGGTGATCACGTCCCAGGAGGGGCCTGCGCGCCGCAGGCTGTAGGGCACGATGCCGATCTTCTCGAAGTGGCAGAACTTCACGGCCTTTGCGATGAAGATCCCGAGCTCCGCCTGCGAGAACGCCCAGAGCTGGTCCTCTGGCTGCTTCCCGCTGCGGTACTGCTTGAAGAAGTGGCCTAAGAACTGCGGGTTCTCGTGGTCCAGCGTTCCAGCGTCGCGTAGTCGTCGCGCGCGCCCGTCTTGGTCGGGTCCCCGTTGTCGTCCGAGGGCCCGAAGATGAGCGACCAATTCTCGTAGGCCGGCCCGATGCCGACTGCGGGTGGGGCGACGTCGCGAAAGCGGGTCCCGCGCAGCTCCCCCGGCCGCAAGTAGGCGCTGAGCGCGACCAGCGCGGCCACGGCCACATCCGTGCGACCCGTGACGTGAAGGGCCACAACAAGCCCGCAGACGGTCCGATACGGCGGTGGTAACCGACCCAATGCTGGCCGCCGTCGTCCCCGCGCCTTGAGAGATCTCTCGAACCTGGCCAGCGGCTTGGTGTTGGGCCTCTTTAGGTTCGGGTAGAAGTGGAGGACAACTGCCTTCAACCACTCCCCATCGTGCTTCTTCCTGCCGCCCAAGTACGTCTGGTCGGCCCGCTCCAGCAGGGCATCCTCTAGGCAGTCCAGGGTGCTGGCCCCCGTGCCCTGGCGGCGGGCGAATTCGAAGATCTCCTCGATGCGCCTGTTGTAGTCCTCGATCTGCACTGGGCTGACCGCGATGCTCTCCAGGTACGAGATGCCTCCGCGGCTGGCTGAGCACCGAGTGGCAGCCTGCCTCGTCGAGGTTGTGACCCGCGGTCTCCGCGAGCCGCCGCGAAGCCCAGCTGGCGTCGCCTGGGGGCGGGGCAGGACAGGTAGTTCGGATAGTCCTGACCCTACGTCCCTCAGCGGTTGCTCCCTGGCGCGCGAGCCCAGCCCCCAATTGGCAGCGTTGCCTCCGCCTCCAGGCGCCTGGTCGCGCCGCGCGACACGACCCCTGCTGCGGGCCTCCGTCTGACCGCGGGCGCCCTGGCAGTCGCCCCAGGCACTGGGATGAGCAAGCCCAGGAGGAGGGCGCCATGCAGGAGGAGAGCTGTCCAGCGCGGGCTCCCATTGCCGAGAAGGACGATCGGCGGGATTGACCTCGGATGGCATCCATCGGCGCTGCGCTCGTAGTTGGCCCAGCAGCGCGGGATCCCTGCACCTGCCTTTCTGGAGAGCATGTGCGAGGCCCATGTTGTCGACCTGCATGAGCACCTTGCTGTGGCGCCAGCGGCCACATCGCACGATGTGCTTGAAGCCTAGCTGGACGCCGCGCGCCTCGTTGACATGGATGGCCCCCTCGTGCTCCCCACAAGGCCTCTTGGCCACCGCGGCCCACTTCGCATCTGTGACGGCAGTGGGCTGGATGTCTGGGAAGTCGCCGCAGGAGAGCCAAGCGGGCTCCTCTCCGTCGTGGACGAGGTTGCCCTCCCTGTCGACTGGGGGCTCGCCCAGGTCATAGCCGGCCAAGGCCACCCCCCGATGCTTGCGGTGCGGGTCCTTCTTAAACCTCCAGTGTTCGTCTTGACGACCCGCGAGGCGAACAGCTGCAGGCGCCCACTCGGCAGCGCGCGCGCGCCAAGACCAGTCTGGCTAGCATCAGTGGCCACCACCTGGTCAAGCCAGCCCGCCCCGAGGTCCGCGTAGACCAGCGGCAGGATGGCGGCGGCGATGAGCAGCTCCCGCTTGACGCTGGGCCAGATGCTCTTGACCATTTCCCCCGCCGACTCGGCAAAAGCGAAGGGGGCGGCGAGGCGCGATTGGCAGGGTCGCCGTAGCAGGAACGCGAAGCACAGGTGCCCAAGCCTAGCCCGCATCTCCCTGCCCGTGCAGCGACCTCGCCGCACGTGGGCATGAAGTCCAGCGTAGAGGCGCCGCGCTCGCTTGGCCGAGAGCGCGACGACCTGCCCCTGGCCGTCCAAGTGCACGCCCACGATGTCCATCGAAGTGCTGACCTGCTCGATCTCGTGAACTTGGAAGCCTGTCTTCCGTGCTTCAGTGAGCTCCTGTCGATGTAGCTCTCGCACCTCCTCCCCGCTGCCGCCGATGGCCCCAAAGTTGTCAGCGTGCGCCAAGTGCACGGCCCCCCCGTCCAGGACTGGCGGCGGCGCGCCGTCTCGCAGGAGTTGAGCAGGAGGAAGCCCAGCGCGAAGCAGGAGCTCCTCATGTACCAGTTGGGCAGCCCGCGTGGCCCACGATAACCCTATCGGCAGTGTCTGGAGTGCCGGGTAGATAATCTCGTTCGGCTCCACCCTGACGCCATTGATGACGTGCGCCCCCGCCGCCGACGCCCGCGCTGGTGGTGACGCGAAGTGCTGGGGCAGCTCCTCGTCAATCCTGAGCTCATGCACGTAGTCCTTGATGTCGAGGCTGGCTGCGTACAAGGGTCTGACCTGAGGCGGCCTCCAAACGACTGAGAAAGTCCCCAATTGCGAGTTGAATGGCATCTGGAATATTAAAACGAATGTAGCTCCTTCGTGCGTCGCATATGAGTCGTAAATCACCGCTCTTCTTGCGAACAAGAACAGACCAACCCTTTCTTCGTAGGTTCGAATCCATTGCACTAGTCCCCTGCCACGAAGTTCTCGACAATATCCCTCCCACTTAGCAGGATGTGCCTCCAGCGCTGGGTCAAAGTGCAGGTTGGGCAGCCCCTCGTTCTTGATGCGCAATGCATGCTCCTCTTCGCTGGGAAGAATGGCGCCGCGAAGCCGCTTGAGTGTGCGCGACGCCGCCTGAGGCAAGACCATGTAGGTGTCCACCTCGAACAGGTCGCGACTCGGCAAGGAAGCGGGCGCCGAGCCAAACGGTGCAATGTTCCCCCCGGCACGCTCGCTGTCTCCGTAGCGAGCGTCTGCGCGCAGAAGCGCCGCGAGGGCTTCGCGCGGGGCGAGCCGTTCCTTCGGCAGAGGCGCGGCGGCAACGGCATCTCGGACCAGAGAAAGGGCAGCCCTCGTCTGCTCACCTCCAGGCCCGCAAGGCGATGCGCTGCCGACGCCCCCCAGCTCGTTGAGGGCCCAAATAACTTCATCAGAGCGCTGGCCCAACCGAGCGCGCCTGTACATGCGTCGTCGAACGCCGCGACTGAGTGGGCCACGAGGGCCATCAAAGTCACGGTGGCGAGGCAGCGGCAAGAGGTCACGCTGGCGACCATCAACCATGCCTGAGACAAAATCTCGCCGTCGCCCTCGGAGAAGACCGCAGCTGGCTGGCGGCCCGAAGTTGGCCGCGAAAACGGAAAGGCCGCGGGGCGGCCAGCCCTTCCTCGCAAGGGCCGCCTCCTCGCGGGCCTGGCGTCTTTCCTCCTGGATCTGGGCCTCGCCTCGAAGCTGTAGAGCAACGTGCGAGGTGAGCTGCGGCGCGACCGCCGCGACCTTCTTGCCGAGGCCCTGGAAGTGCTCGCTCCCTTCGAACCGCGGCGCCGTGGGGTTGGCAGTGTGGGCCTCCTCCAGCAGCTGGATCCTTCTCGACAGCAGCTCGAAGGACGCCAAAGCAAAGACATCCAACTGGTCGTAAGTGAGCGCCCACTCGAGGATCTCCATGAGACTGCCATGCTCATGCTGGGCCCTGTCGTTGTCTGGGATGTGAGCGTCTCGCGCCCACATCTCCGTCCTGGTCCGAGGAACGCAGCCCTGGTCACGAATGAACTAGCGCATCCATAGGGTTGTCCTCGGACCTTGGATGGGGAAATCCTTCCAGGGCGGCTCCTCCAGCAGGCCAGCCCCGTCGGCGTGCGGGCGGAACCTCTGTCCCATCTGGTCGTGCAACACTGGAAATACTCGAGCGTCGGGCGCGCGGGCTGCCGAGTCCGAAGCAGCGGGCGCCCCAGCCGCCGGCGGGCCCGCGATGGCCGCCGCCAGGCCGCCAGCCGCGGGCGCGGCAGCCACGCCAGCCTCCAGCTCGCGCCTCCTCGCCTCGAGGATGCTGAGCTGGCTCCCGACCCCGACGCACTCCAGGACCAGCGTGGCGGCCCCCAGCTTGACGAAGGCAAACTTCCCCAGGATGATGGCGTTGGCATCCGCACTCCAGTCCTGCCCCACGCTGGGGGCCCCAGGCTGCCCGTCGTTGGCCACAACGATCCACTGCACACCCCCGGCGGCAGCCAACCAGGGCAGGCCCCGCGGGCCCAGCGGCGGCCCCCGGCGGGGGCGAGGGCACCCCGGCGGCACCAGCAGCCGGGGCTCTCCCTCCCGCTAGCGGCGGGGCGTTTCCAGCCGGGGGACCAGCGGCGGCGGGCACCATGGCGCCTCCTGCGGCGGGCGGCGCCGCAGCGCCCTGTCCCCCAGGAAGCCAGCCCACTGCCATCAACCCAGCCGTGAGCAGCCATGCGATCGCGAACGGCAACGGCTTCGGCGTCCGCCGCGGCGCCATCGACTCCCAAGGCAGCCCGCCGCATCTGGGCCTCCGCGATCCCGTCATCGAAGATCTGGCGCCACTCCGCGTTCGAATGCAACTGACCGAACGGCGGGAAGCGGTAGAGCAGAGCGTTGGCAGGGATCGAATGCGGCACAGACCCCTGCATACACGGCCAGCCACCCAGCGCCATGATGTCATCTTCATAGACGTCGTCATCTGGTGTTGCTATCACCAACGTCGTTCCCTGGACCTGGGAGAGCAGGAGGCGCTCGTGCCAATATGCCTCCGCGCCCCCGTACCACACAAGGATCAAACGACCTGGAGCGATGGGCCTCGAGTCGGCCATGCACACGCCGAAGGCCCGTGCCCCAGATGGTGCCCAGGCAGCAGCCAGCCGCCAGCCCCGCGATGGCCGCGACCAGCACCGCGAGGAGACACCAGCCGCCGAGGCCCCGCGCTGCCTCTGGGCAGCTGGCCTCTGGGAAGCTCGGGCAGGCGGCGCCCCCGAGCGTGCACGGCGGAAACTGCAACGCAGGGCACGCCAGGCGTGGCGAGCAGGCGCAGTCGGGGCACGACCGCTCACTCTAGCCAGCCCGCACCAAGGACGCGGTGCCCAGCGTCTGCACTGCCTCCCGCGAAGCCTCCACCAGCACGTCGCCGAGCCAGAAAGACATACACGGGGGCACCGTTGCGGATGGGTCGGCGCCGCGCAGACCCTGGAACCACAAAAGGCTGCAGAGCGGGGCAACGGGCGAGGCACGCTAAGTTCCTGCTACCTTCCCCCTACTCGTCTCACTGAACGGCCCCTCTGACATCATTACTGTGCACACACTCTCATCATCATCATCATCATCATCATCATCATCATCATCATCATCATCATCATCATCATCATCATCATCATCATCATCCTCATCCTCATCCTCATCCTCATCCTCATCCTCATCCTCATCCTCATCATCATCACCATCAATCATCATCATCATCATCATCATCATCATCATCATCATCATCATCATCACCATCACCATCACCATCTCCATCACCGTCACCATCATCATCATCCTCATCAACATCAACATCATCACCATCAGCATCAACATCATCACCACCATCATCATCATCATCATCATCATCCCTGCTCCCACCTCCTTATCGGTGTTCTCCTGCTGCTCCTCTTCATCCTCCTTCTCCTGCTCCTCCCCTCAGTTACTACTCCTCCTCCTGCCCCTCCTCCTCCTCCTCCTCCTCCTCATCTCCTCCTCCTTCCCCCCGTGGCCCTCCTAAGTGTGCTCGTTGTTCTTCTAATCCGCCGACCCTGTCGGTGTGTGACAGGGGCTGTTCCGTCGCCATGCTGCCGCCGTCGCGTCGCCGCCGCCATCACGTCCCCTCTTTCCCTTGAGTCCGTCGCCGTTCCCCCCGTTTCCTTGGGCCCTCGTCCTCAAGCGCGCCAGCCAAAGCGAAAGACACGAGCCCATCCACAGCGAAATGAAGCAACGCTGTCATTGAATCGAAGGGACGCCCCTTCCCTTTGACCCCTTCGCCGCGGAGGGGGGGGGGGGCCCGCGTCAGAATACCACCCTCCCGGCCCGCCTTCTCCCTCCCATTTCCGTCGAGGGCCGAGGCGTCCAGGGTTGGCGGCACCGGCCGTAAGGCCTTCGCAATATTCTTCTTCTTCTTCCTCCACTCCTCGCCCCACCTCCTCGGTTCCTATACACACATACAAGGCATAAAGAAGCAAACCATTCAGGGACCGACCACAACGATGTTTAAAACGAAATGGCGTTTACACCGAACAACGAAACGAGGCCCAACGTTTAAAACGAACGTGTAAAACGAAGCGTGCCACACCGAAGTCCCAACAACACCCGAAAGACAAATCCTGCCCCCCGTGGAAATTTTCGGGTCATAACTCTGGTCGCCGGCGGCCGATTGGGACGATTCTGGCACCACCGGAACGAACGCCCTCGACGAGGCGCAACTGATGAGAACCACCTGGGGTTCGGAAACTTTCGAACATAACCGAGAACGGTCGCAATCTCTCCGCCTGAGCCTATCCCCTGCCGAACGTTGCCCCTGGCGTCGCCCGTCCCCCATTTGTCTCCCCTCATTAGCAGAGAATATAACCGTATCTGCGCCCTCGCCGACTGGATTCCACTCCGCGATCCCGCGTAAACGAGGTCGCTCGGATCCGTTCCGCGCGGGGCCTCAGCGAAAAAACGCCTCGTATCCGCGGGGTCGCGGCCCAAGGACCAAGCCCGCGAGGCCGCGGACACGGATGTGCTTTTCGCCCACGCTCCTGAGCACCGTGCAACCGCTCCCCATCCCCCCTGGCGTGACCTGGGCCCCACTGGCCGATGTAACCCCCCTACCGGCTCCGAAGTAGTTCTCCTGGCGCCACACCGAAGCCCTCACAACACCCAAAGACGGGTGAATCTTTCCGCGCCCGACCCCGGGCCGCATCAGCGGGCGCGCGGGCCAAACATCCTCCCCCCGTGCAGTTTTGAACGGGCCTCCGCCTGCGGGGGGGCGTGGCACCCCTGGGGTGATCCACTCCTCTGACTGATGGAGTCTGATCTGGGCGATTCTGCTTGGGACGTCCTGTGGTTTCGCCTGGAACGTCCTTCCACCTGGCTGGGCCCCTGGTTTGGCCTGGGTTAGGGGCTCGGTTTTTTCGCCTGAGACGTTCTCGGAATTTGCCTGGCTTGGCCGTGGTTCGGCCTGGTTTGGGCCCAGCTTCGCCGGAGACGTGCTCAAACTTTGTCTGCATTGGCTTGCTTTGTGTCCAGTTTCGCTTGGAACGGCCTCACGAATTACTTGGTTCTGGGCGATGCGAAAAATCTGCGACAATATGCACGGTTGAGCAACATCCGTTATGTGCGCCATGCGGTTTCAACGCGCAGTGGGATGTGTAACATTTCCTTCGACACTGAACGGATAATCAACAAGCGTCGTTGTGTGTGCGTGTGTGTGTGTGTACAAACCGAAGTAATGGCACGGTGTCATGAGTACCCAGTGTGGTCAACGTGCCACACGACTGCGCTACAAAAAGGCGGGCGGCATCGGTGTAAACATTCCCAACACGCTGTGAATCGGCATGGGCGTGCGTGGCGGCATTCGGAGAAACCTGTCAGGCGCTTTAGGTTGGAATACATGCTGTTTCCATGGGGTTTCGAGAGGCATATTCCGAAATTCCCAGCTGGGGTGCTGGGGTGGTGGGGATCGGGATGGGGTAGGGATCGGTTAATAGAGGCCTCCTAGATGGGGTCCGAGTAGATGGGGTTGGAGGATCGCGCCACATCGCCGATACATCGGCGATGCATCGGCCATGCACTGGCGACGTCGGCGATGCATCGGCGACATCGACGTGAATCAAATCGGGATCCACATCGAGCGGCATCGGCGATGCATCGCCGATGCATCGGCGATGCGGCACGATCCTCCGACCCCACCTACTCCGACCCCATCTAAGAGGCCTAGAGACCCAGACCCCCGACGTCATGTGTTTTTTTCCTGGCGTCGACCCCCAAAAATTTCGACCTATTCCCCGCGACCAGTCTTTCATCCCGCGAGTCGCTTCTTGCCGGTCTCGAGGCCCGGTAAGGGTCCCCAGGGGCCGACAATGGCGGAAAGCCTGATTTGGTGATTTTGTTATTCATTCCTTGAGGGGGTCTGGGGTAGGGATCGGTCAGGCGATGCTGAGCTCCCCCCCGCTGGCCGCTCGCCCCGAGCCCGCGCCTGCAGCCTGGCCCACGGCTCGCATGCAGCCGGGCGCTCGCCGTGGGCCTCTGGTCTCTGCCTGGCTCGCGGCGCCGGGCGCCGTCGTCGCCGTCGGCGACGTCGTGGTCGTGGCGGTCGTCGTCGTGGTCGTCGTGGTGGTGGTCGTCGTCGCCGTCGTGGCCGTCGCCGTCGTGGTCGTCGTCGTTGTGGTCGCCGCCGCCGCCGCCGCCGCCGTCGTCGTCGCCGCCGCCGTCGTCGTCGTCGTCGTCGTCGTCGTCGTCGTCGTCGTCGTCGTCGTCGTCGTCGTCGTCGCAAAGGTCGTTGCCGTCGTCGTTGCCGCCGTCGGTGTCGTCGTGGTCGTTGTCGGCGTCGCCTCCTCCTCCTCGTCGGAGGCCCGCGAGCCGCAGGGCCGTGGCCCATCCCAAGATGCGAAGGCATCCAACGTGTGCCTCATGCCGCGCTGCGCATGAAGCGGACCCCCCCCCGGTGTGCAGTTGCCACTGCTTATCAACCTGCGGCTCGCGGCGCCGGGCGCACAGGGGGTGGTAGGCAGTTGCGCCCGAGCCTCCGCTTGGCGCCTTGCGTTCCGCGGCGAGGCACGAGCACGGGCGAGTGCCTTGTCGTGACCTCGGCCCCCCGGGTGGGGTCGAGAGCTCAGGGGAGGCCGTGTCGTGAAACAGAACACACACACAGCGCCGGAGGTCTGTGGAAGGAGGGAGGGGGAAGAGAGGGACGAGGAGTGGGGAGACGACGAGGAAAAAGAGGGGATTGGAGACGAGCGTCGGAGCTTCGCTTGGCACTGCCATCCTCTTCACGGGCTTCAGGGAGGAGGGAGAGGAGGAGCAGGAGGAGGAGGAGGTGGAGGAGGAAGAGGAGGAGGAGGAGGAAGGCTAGTATAAATTCAAGATTCATCAACGATGTTAGAATAAACCTTCCCTCCAAGCTCCCTCTTCGGAGGCCCCTACAAAGACTCATTTCCCTTGAAGGAAATGCCCTGTTGGAAGACAACCGTTTGAATATCCTGAAGCGTGCCAGAACACCGTTCTCGGGACTTAACGTCACGAATCAACCTGACTGTTGCGTCTTGACGATCCAGAATCGTGCCAGAACGCCATCTCTAGGACTTCAACACCGCGAATTAAACAATTGGTGTCCCTGACAATCTTGAGTCGTTCCAAGAAAGCCATTCTTGGTACGTTAACAATGAGAACCCGTGAAACTCTTGCAACTGTTTGAAAACGAATGTGCGAGGCGCTAAAGCGATAACCATATTTTGGAAATGAGCTGCCCTCAATCCTTGAAGGTCTTGCATGTTTTGAAAGAAGGATGTGCGCGGCGCGAAGGCGGGAACCACACTTTGAAAAGCACCCGTCCTCAAGCCGTGAAGCTCCTGCAACATTTAAAGCGACTGTGCGCGGCGCGAGGGCGAGAGCCACATTTTTTTGAACTACCCGCCCTCCGTCTGCGAAGTTGTTGCCACTTTTAAAATTCAAGGGCGTAGCTGGTGAGGAAGTCTCAGGCAAAATGTCCGGCACGCTCGGTTTGCGACAGGGGAGAACTATTTAGAACGAATAGGAGCGGAGGAGGACGAGGAGGTGAAATAAATTACGCTGCGTCCGCGCCACCAGGGCCACCATCCCTTGTAAATTACGCTCTGTCCGCGCCCCCAGGGGCAGGATCTTTAACAAATTACGCTGTGTCCGCCCCCCCAGGGCCAGCATTCGTGTTGCGTCCGCGCTGCCACCACGATCCCTCGTCAATTACGCTGCGTCCGCGTTCCCAGGTCCATGATCGCTTGTGAATTACACTGCGTTCGCTCTCCCTGGGCCACGACCCCTTGTAAACTACACTGCGTCCGCGCTCCCAGGCCACGCTCCCTCGTGAATTAGGCTGTGTCCGTGCTCCCAGGGCCACGCTCCCCAGTCATTCTTTGTGTGCTCGGGCTCCCAGAACCACCGGGGCATCCTGGGGCGCCCCAGCCGCTCAAGTTCTGCACAGCAGGCGTTTCGCTTGAGGCATCCTCAGATATTCGGCGCGCAGGAGGCGCCATCCTCGAGCGGGCATACAAAAAGCTGACTTTTTCATGTCCTGTTCTAACAGATTTGAGGGCCTTCAGACCTGGTGGTTTATCGTGGATTCTGCGCAAACGCTCCGCACACCGTTATTTTTTGCGAGGGGAAACGAAAGTCATCGGGACCCCGTTATTTATCGATGATCCGAGATCGGGGCACAATGTCCTCGAGCGGGCATGCGCGAAACGCATGTTTTAAATAACAATCAGACTTTAATATATTTTTTATGGCAAACAATTCCGCTGGCCCGCTGGAAATCGACTCCAGGGGTAAACAGCTACAAAAGAACACTGGGCCTCTGCCCTTTCTGGGACAAAAGCGGTCTGGGGAAAGCGGTCGAGAGGTCTATGGCCCGTGTCTCGAAAAAATCGAGGCGCCAGATGTCTGGGGATGGGGTCCTGAGGACGAGGTGCGTGCCTCAAACAACGCAGATCCACCCTTTCGATCCCTTGCTATCCATGGGCCCCCATTCCTTAGGGCCCAGCTTTTGAACCGCCAGCCCTGGGAGCATTGGGGATCCACTGACCAGGGTCAATACACACCGGGGTCACTCAGGCCTTGCAAGATCCTGCAAGAGCCTGCAGGATCCTTCAGCATCCTGCGCCTAAGCCCGGGTCAATGCAGCCCTGGATGTGCAGGAACCTGATGAGGAAAAGGACGGTGGGGGAGGAGGAGGAGGAGGAGGAGGAGGAGGAGGAGGAAGGAGGAGGAGGAGGAGGAGGAGGAGGAGGAGGAGGAGGTGGGGGAGGAGGATGAGGGGGAGGAGGCAGAACTTTGGCGGACCCCCTTTGGCATTGGCCCCCGTCGTCCCTCGAGCCCCGACGAGCTGGCCCGCGGCCGCCGGGCGCCTGCTCACCACTGGCCTCACCACGAGCCCGACCGCTGCTGCCCCGACATCCCCCTCGTCGGGACACAGATCACGACGCAGAGCTCTTTGGATAATCTTCGGCCACTGGGGTCCGATGCTGCTAGCAGGGGCCCTGGCCCAAGGTGCCCCCAGGAATGCCAGTGAGGCCCCCGCCGCCTCCAGAGCGCCCCTCACGAGGCCCAAAGGTGCCCCGGGGGCTCCAAAAGTTGAGCGAAAAGCTGGGGGCGCCTTGGGCCAGGGGCACCTCTTAGCAACCCCCGACTGGGGGGCCCTCGCCGGGCCTCGCGACCGTCACAGAACGACTCCGGACAGCAGCAGCCGGCCCCGGGGAAGGGGTACGGCGTCATGATTTTTTCATTACGTCGACCTCCAGAGGTCTGGACCCATTCCAAAGGGCCGGTCTTTCATCCTGAATCGCTTTCTGACGGTCCCGAGGCCCGGTGAGGGCCCTCAGAGGCCGAAAATAGAGAAACATGATCGACCCAAAGGAATCTAGACATGTGAGGCATGGCAGCGTTTTCAAGACACCTGATTGGGCGACGGGCAATTGCAATGCTGAGGGCTGTGCTGTGCTGCGCGGTGCTGACTTGCGATGTGCCATGCCGCGATTGTGCTCTATAGCGTTGTGGATCGAGTCTTCCTTTGCATCCGAGTCTAGGCCGAGCTGATCTGGATCTTAAGCTCGAGATGCCTGAGCAAATGGTAACTGCCCCAGAGCTAGTTGAAGTGGAAACGTGCGGGATGTTCAATCAACTCGACCTGAAAATCCAACTCAGCCCCGAAAGTGAACGACACGACACGGGGCACAGGATCACGGACGAGCCACAGGAGGTTTCAGGGTCGCAAGAGGGGATGCACCAGGGGGCGTGTCAGGGGATGTATCAGGGGACGTGCCCTGGACGTGTCAGGGACCTGCCACGGGGCGTGCCAAGGCGCGTGCTGTGGTGTGGTTAGAGGACGTCATGCCAAAAGACGTTGCAAGGAGCGCGCCATGGAACTGGCAAGGGAAACGCCTGGGAACGAGCCGGAGTGACGAGCCAGGGACATGCCACGCCGAGTGGCGTGCTGGGGGACGCGCCAGGGCACGTCACGCCAGAACGTCGCAAGGGAGGCGCCAGGGGATGCGCCAGCGCGCCAGGGGACGCCCCACGGACGGGCAAGCGTTTCGCTCGAGACATCCTCAACACATCCTCATGTTAGACATCCGCCTGGACGACCTGAACACGTGAAAGCAAGCGTCCCGCTCGAGACATCCTCAAAACATCCTCATGTTAGGCATCCGCCTGGGCGGCCCGTCTCGCTCGACGCGTTCCCGCAATCTCCTCGTGCTAGACATCTGCCTGGGCGACCAGGACGTGTGAAGACAAGCGTTTTGCTCGAGACTGCCTGGGCGACCTGGACACGTGGAACCAAGCGTCTCGCTCGAGACGTCCTCAACACACCTTCATGTTAGACATCCGCCTGGGAGAGCTGGACACGTGAAAACAAGCGGTTCGCTCGAGACGTCCTCAACACAGCTTTATGTTAGACATCCGTCTGGGCGACCTGGGCACGTGAAAGCAAGCGTCTCGCTCAGAACATCCTCAACACCTCCTCATGCTGGACATCCGCCTGGGCGACCCGGACACGTGAAAACAAGCGTTTCGCCTAAGCCCATCTCAACACGTCCTCATGCTAGACATCCGCATGGGCAACCTGGACACGTGAAAGCAAGCGTGTCGCTCGGAACATCCTCAACACATCTTCATGTTAGACATCTGCCTGGGGGACCTGGACACGTGAAAACAAGCGTTTCGCTCAAACCCATCTCAACACATCTTCATGCTAGACATCCGCCTGTGCGACCTGGACACGTGGAACCAAGCGTCTCGCTCGAGACGTACTCAACACATCCTCATCCTCATGCTAGACATCTGCCTGTGCGACCTGGACTCGCGAAAACAAGCGTCTCGCCAAAGCTCTGGGCGTTGGTAGAACTGAATTTAGTGGAACCTGGTTTAGTCATCTGTACGGGGGGCGCCCCCCCGTCCTATTTCCACTAACCGGAACTGCCGTCACCCGAAAAAACACCAGCTATGGCAAACCTGGTTTAGTGATTCTGGCCAATTCGAAGGCTCCAGGGCCCC